GGACACTGGGAGGAGGTAACTATGGGGAGGAAGTGGGAGGGGAGCTGCTGCATTGTAAATTTTGGTCAATGACATGAGACAAAGTATATGTGAACTGCTGTGTGAAAAGTGAATTTACGCTGTAAATCTTCCCCCAAATCCTAAATAAAAAAAAAAAAAAAAAGAATAAACTCCTGTTTGTGAAGGCCATTCTATCTGTGGTGTATTTCTGTCAGAGTGGCACTAGATAATCAGAACAGAATTTGGTACCGAGAGAGTGGGGTGCTGCTCTGACAGATGCCTAAAATGTGGAAACAGGAGTGGGCTGCATCCTTGACCCGAGACCCCAGCATATGGCATGGAGACAGCAGGAGCAGAGCCAGGAGATTGGCAGAGAGACCAGCATGAAATATGGCAGTAGCAGAGCCCAGAAATAGCCATTAAACAGCATCAGGCTTACCAGCCCATGGAGGAGATAGCTGGGTGCCACTGCACAGGTGGCTTCCTGGTGGAATGGGTTGCGTTCAGGCATTAATTGGTGAAGAGACCAGCATAATACGGAGTAGCAGGTCAGCTGGCCCACAGAGCAAGAAAGCTAAGTGTCTTTGGGGCAGAAAGATTCCTGGCGGAGTGGGTTGCCCTCGGGCATTAATCAGCAGAAGCAAAGAGACCAAGGAAACAGAAGCAGAGCTGCCTCAGTCTGAAAGGGCAGGACCATGGCCTTTGGGGGTGGACCTTCACCAACGTGCTTCTGGAGTGTGGGGCTGCTCGTTCGTGTGAGCCAGTGGGATGGAGCCATAGCCGCTGCCCAATAGTGAGGGGGCAGGGCTGCCAGGTCCAAGGGAGAGGAACGGGGCCCACCAGGCCAAGGGGGTGAGGTCACCAGTCAGGAACTAGGGGACTGGAGTCACCCAGGGGAGGAGACCTATACAGATACCACCCATTGACGATCTGTACAGATGCCAAGATGACAAGGGGTGGAACTGTGGTGGTTATGTTTGTACGTCAGCTTGGCTGGGCCTGGTGGAGTGTCTGGGCAGTTGGTGGTAATGATTCCTCATGAACACACGTCTTTTGGCTCTTTATCTCTACAATGTCACTTGATCCTGGTCACTTCCAATCTCCTTCTCCAGGTTTCCCTTCTCAGCAGTTTTCAGTCTTCCCTTACACACTTGTATTTCTTAAGGATATAAGTAGCCTTTCACCCTAGACTTGAGGGAAACTTCAACTACAGTCATGGCTTCAAACACCATTTATTCACTGTTAACTCCCACAGTTCCTAGCTGTATCTCTCAGTTCAGGGCTACATAATCTACTGATGAAATATTTCCCATCTGGAGGCTGGAAAGCCCCTGCCACAGCACCCCAAGGCAGACCATTATGGTGTCTCACCTGTGCCCTGCTCCGCACGCAGCCTGCACTGGTCAACGACCTCAGCCAGACCTGGAAGTTGTTCCCCATTTCTCTTCTCCCTCCATCCAGCAAAAGGGCCCCACCCCCGTCCGCTTTCTGACTGCCCAGGTCAAGGCATCATCGTCTCCTGCCTGGCTATCACATCCCCTACCTCTAGCCTGGCCAACCTTCCAGTCCACTCACCTCACAGCTGCCAGGGATGGATCCCATATGGGAACCGCTGAATGCTACACAGATCCACTCACTGAGGGGGTGGGGGTGGGGTGGGCGACTTGGCAAAGTGCCACAAGTGGCATCAGTAGGAATAAGAGCGTGTCACATGCCTCAGGGATGCTGGGAAAGAAGAAAAAAGAAGAGCCTCTGCCCCGTGAGACTGGATCTATACTTGGTTATCCAAACCCTTCTTTGCATTTCCTCCTTATTAAACTTGAAAAACACAGAAGAGCTTGGGCTTCCTGAGACATGAATGGGGCACAAACGCCCCTGGTGGGCTCTTCCGGCCAACGTTCTAGCGCCTCCCCAAGTATCACGGAGGAACAGCAGGTCACGTGGAGCCAGCAATCCAGTAAATGATGCCTCTGTTTTGAGAAAAAGGCTCCTATGCTGGGGATTTTTATAAAATGTATAAATATTTAATTCCCATCCATTTGTTTTGAAATATGAATTTTTAATCATGTGTCTTGAACAAACTAATGTAGCTTAAATAGTAGGTGCTGAAGATGCTCATTTCCAGATGTCTTTCCCAGCTCTACCGTAAGTAAAAGCAACAAAGGTAAGACATTTGAAACAAAGGGTGCATCCACAGTTTATCTTGGCCTCTCACCTTCCGACAGCACATTCATCTGGGGCTTTAACAACAGTGTTGATGCCGTACAGACAAGCCAATCAGAGGGCTCAAAGAGTCCACACTCTGTAACAGTCCTCATGCAATCTTTCAAAACTAAAGTCAGTACTCAGAGAGAACACACCCTTCAACGCCTGCCAAGCAGAGGAGCTGAGTAAAGTGCTGAGAGTCGGCGCCCGGAACGAAAGCACTTCCTCGGGGCATCTCTGGCCGTGACAGGCAACTGCAAGACGTGTGCTCTCCTGGGAAGCAGGGCACATGGCCATCTTCCTGCTTTAGATCCTGAGGAGCCCCTCCCTCGGAGAGTTGCTCAGAAACCCCCTTGAAAATCACCACCTCCTAAGACACACACACTCATTCACTCCATCTGCGCACACAAACGAATGGCACATGGAACAGCACAGAGGCTGCATTCCGCATAGGCTGCCTGAGCCTGAGGGGTCAACGATAAAGGGAAAACGGTGACGGACCGAGCAGGAAGTAGCCTGAGTGCTGGAAGGTAACGGGCTGAGGTGCATCACTGCTCGGCATTACCACCCAGTGCAGGGACCCAGCATCCGAGAGTTCTGCGCTTGCCTCCTGCACTATCTCACATGCCCCGAACCCTCCCCCTCCCTCCCGCACTATCTCACATGCCC